GAGCCGCACTTTGCACCATAATTCATTTACTTTTACTCGTTTTTGGCCATTCTTTAGCTAACTGGCTGCACGGGAATCAAATTCCGATTTTTACGGGAGGGCATTTCCCAGAAATTTTGCAACCGCTGCATTTTTCGGCTTGCAGTAGAGAAGTAGCTCTAGTGCGATCGATATCTCCCTGAAGCTGTGCACTCTTCGATTTATGTGGGTAATCTCTTGATGTTTTCCTAGAGGACACTTTTTCAAACTCGCCATGGGACCTTCTCATTTCTGACCTTTAAACGCTTCTAAGCCATTCATCATTGACCTACTTAATGCCAACTTTCGACATCGGAAAAATAGTGGGCACTTTTTTTCAGGGCTTTATCTTATCTGAAAGGGTTGTGGCAAACAATTTGAACATATTTATAAGCAACGAGTGTCCTTATCGCTTTTCCTGTACTAGTAGTTGTTGATTACTTTCGTTGTTGTACTTTGCCTGTCGAATTCGATTGGTGCTCCCCTCCTGGGCATTACTTTTCAGTAAACGAAAAAATAAAAGTAGCTCCTGTTCAGTTGAAATGACCCTTTGAGCCTTGTGAGAGTTCATTTTTCCCAGGACCACTTTCGAAATGGGCCTACCCTTCCGAAAAATCAATGGATGAGTAACTCCTCTCCAGTCCCTTTCGTTGCACGATCTTTCTGGAACTAAGCTATTATGCTAATATTAAGCATAAATTTTTCTTTTAACCGTTCTTTGTTTCATAAGGTTGTGTTTTGTGATGCGATCAATAGCGAAATTGACCCTGTCAGCCGATTTCAGGGTTGCCACGTCGTCCCGCGGCGTCAAGCAGGGATTCAAACGGGAATATGGAACGGATCGAAGTCGGCATGCACGTCGACATTCAAAGGTGGGCTCCCGTTTCAGGGTCAAATAGGAGGAGGACGTCAGTGGGCATTAATAGCACTGGGGGAACCACTAGTCAGCGCCTCGTATCCCCTCGAGGGCACGTCGTACGAGTCGTATTTCTCTTTTGTGAGAAATGCTTTTGGTTTTTAACTTTTCTCATTTTTTCCCATTTCACATATTTCGCACCCCAAACCGCTCCCTTTTTTAGAGTGAAAGTGGTGGAAAAAGTGACTCAAAGTCGGGGAGAATAAGGAAGTTTTGAGGGGTCGTATTTTGCGAAATTCGACGGCGGGGGGGGGACATTTTGCACTTTGGCTGCTTCCCATCAACGTGTCGAGCCATGTAGAAAGCCATTTCGTGAGCCTACAAGAGCTGACAGGTTTCATCAAGAGGGCTCGACGAGCTTGCTTCAGCTTCATAAGGGTTCAAAGGTTTCGTGTGAGACTTGTAAACAGCGAAAGTGCAAAATGTCCCCACCCCGTCGCTGAACTGTGCCTAAAATATTTCCCATTGGCAGGAGGTGCCGGCGCGTCCTCCGCTCAACAAGGTTCAAGCCTAGTGGAGGTAATGTACTCTCTGCGAAACTATTCCTTGGCCCCTGTTCGTCTGCGCTCTAAGCCAAACCTTTTCGGAAGGGATACAGAGACGCGGCTGAGTGGCTACCAGCTACACTCCAAATACCTGGGATGCAGTGGGAGTGGCTGCGTACTTTCAACTAAACGCAGCGGTGGTTGTGCTTTTGATGAAATATTTTCATCTTGACGCAATTGTGTCATGTCTCTGTCGGCGTTCAACAAAATGACAGTTGTCTCAATTGAAATATCCCCGAGTATCCCATCCTATGCCCAATGTCCAGATGCCACGCCTACTCCGTCCAGGGGATAAGGAGTGGACGTTAAGGCCGTCAACTAATAAGAATTGCTGGATCGTAAGACGAATTATCCGGTCTATTTGCCTCTGCTTGTCATCAGACGAAACTAGATGGCTTTCATACCTTGCAAAGTGAAGAATCGCAGAATCGGGGAATTGACGAACACGGAGTTCTGGAAATGACTGAGCGACTAGGATTAGATACGTTAGATACGATCTATTCTCGCACATTCGTCATTTCTTCAGATTCCTTGGTTCGTCCATTCCCCAGATCAAAAATTATCTGGTCCTTTTCGCACATACGTCGGTTTTTTCCATTCCGCAGTCCGTCAGTTCCTCAAATTCTCCAGTGTGGCAGGGTATGAACAGCCTTATTCCGTCTCGAACCCATTAGCCTCCTTAGCAAGGGTGGAAAGATGTTCAAGACGTTCAAGGGTCTCATCCAGATTATCAAATTTGTTTTTTTTTGTCGATTTTCGGGCACTCGTTTGATCGTTCAATTTTTAGGTCTGATGGCAGGGTACACGGGGCAGTTGTTTCTCAGCTGAAGCCTGAACGAAAGGCAGTACTTGTAGAATGGTTTGAAAAGGTGAGCTAATAATCTTATCGCATTATTTTTTCGTGGGAAGCTACTTTTGGAAGATGCACGTCCTTGTGTTGGTTAGGAAGTGCAGGTACCTTTGAAACTATCAAAAGTGGTGGTTTTGAGGCGCAGCCCACATAAAAAAGGAGAGGGTACATAGTGTCAGTGAAGCGGAAAAAGTGAAAAACTACGAAAAATCTCCGCGAGCAAAATGCGACCCCCTTCCCATCAGAGACCAAAACACGACCCTCCTCTGGGGAACCCAACGTGTGGCGTGGCAACTTCTTGGGAAGCAATTTGTTCGTGGACTGCCTTCGAGCTCGTGCAGCTTGGCTTGATCGACTGCCGCTATTATGGGTTGCGAAATCATAGAAGGACAGCGAGTAGTCATGCATGAGTCATAGCCATTGCATGCCCCCTAGGGAGAACTCGGTGCACCGAAAATGATAAAGGAGAACATCAGCAGGTTTGAGGGAATTTGGAGGAGATTAATCCCGTAATATCTGGTGATGTGAAAATTGTTGCGGACAGTTTTCATTAATTATCTCAATCTTTCTGTTTTTCGTTGTGATGAGCAGGTGGAGTTTGAAAATTGATTAGCTTTCATCGCGCATTTTTCCACGATTATCAGAAAACTACGCTTTTTAAAGCTTTTTAAAGGGCCTTACGCTTCTTCTTGTTGGACATATCGAGTTTTTGTAGTTTTCTCTCACTGCTCCTCTTATTGTAAAAGTATACTGTGAAAGAGCATTATGTGAAGGTCAGGATAGGGTCAAAAAGATAAAGCATGGAACCTTCGCCGTTGATCAATCCCTTTGGAATGCGGCACACATTCTACTTCCATTCAGAATCGTAGTGGCTTATTGAATGCGATGTGGCCTATACAATGACTTGCGTGGGCCAGCCGATGTACGAGTTAGGGCGTTTATTCCCGCACGAATCTGAATACCATTACCGCCTCAGGGTACGAAGGCCTGAGTGGCGTTCGGTCTTGCACTGGAGCCGACTCCTACGAGCTTGACCCCTGCCGACCGTGCTGCGCCGCGTGAATAAGCGTGCTACTGTGCCACTCACACCGTCTCGCGGCCCTCAGAATGGGCGTTTCGGCGTTGGAAAATTAATAGTACAACCCAAGTCCGCAATCCAGCTGGCCGTTGTGATATGGCCATGTTTTCTATACTAAGATATTTTAGCGTGGATATATATAATTATAACGCTTGGGCATTCGGGGATTAAATGATGCTATGCACTGATTAAAGTGACGTTATCCGTCAAAACGTCTCTTAAGCCTGGGATAAAAAGGGTCTGACGTCTGAAAGCGATACTTCTTTGAAACTTGTATTGAGAAAATACAAGTAATCACCACGTTGAACATGTGACATGTGATTGTAAGGTTATGGCACAAAAGCCACTGATGCGGGTTCGAATCACGCCTGAGGTCAAGGCTCGCCCATACAGGGTACAGCATCGTGATGTATGAAACGATGGTGTAAGTACGACTCCCCCCTCCGAGAAAGGGTGTTAGACCAACCCCTACCTAAATGAGGGTCTCGTTACGCTCCCCCGCCCCGCCTTCCCCATCACCTACCGACCAATTTCCCACATTTTCCAGTTTTTCACCAAAGATTTCCCCTCTAGAGAGGGGTGGAATATATGCGGCAAATTTCTCTCAAAGGCACATACGACCCCCCCCCTCTCCCAACAACCAAATACGACCCTCACCCGGCCGAAAAGAAAGACCCCTATGTGTTTCACACAACGATGCTGTGCCCTGTGCCCATAACTTAGCGTTCTTGTGATGACCAATGTTATGGTTTTCAATAGAGAGATAACTACTGGTTGATTCATGTTCTGTTCGTACTGAGATTCCTATTTTAGCAAGCCCTAGGATCATTACATATGTGCTAAGTAAATTATACAAGTTGAACATTAAAAAAAGCGCAGCCGGCGGCAGGGTAAGCATTTTGTACTTTTGCTACTTCCCAACGACGTGCCGATCCGGCTAGGGTCCTGAAAATTCTTGTAAAGTCACGAAAAGAGATCAGCCAAAAATTTTGTTGCCCGCTCGACGACTTTGCTACAGCTTCACAAGAGTTCACATGTTTCACCAGAATGAGACTTGTGTACTGCAGCGAAGGGAAGCAAAGAAAGTGCAAAATGCCCCCCCCCCTTCCCCTAACTGCGCCC